CTCCTGCTCTCTCACTAGTAATTGTAATGGAAGTTTCTGATTCTGTTTCTGCCCTTCCAGCCATTGTACAAGGAGACACCCTGGAAGACATATACAACCATGTGAAGCAGATCATAGAAGAGCAGTCCGGGCCTTACATCTGGGTCCCAGCAAAGGAGAAGTTATGAGACTGATACTTCTCTGGGTCTCTTTTCCAGTCTCACTGTTGTTATTTGACACTTCTTTGCCTTTTCCTTCTAGTGTCTGTTTTTAATCCTCCTCTGTTCCATCATACCCCACTCATCATGGTCTGTAATTGCACTTGCATTTAACATCTCATGTCTCCTTCAGGTTGCACCACCTGTATAATTTTATGTCACTATTGGTTTGTGGCCGTTTTTCAGAACTGAAGATGGAATGGCTTGACCAGCTATAAGGGTTTAGGGAGCTAGGGAAATTATGGTAAAATTCCTTAATGTTTAAGGGAAAGTAACTAAGAGATTTTCAGAAAAGCTTTGTATACATTCTTTTCAAATTTCAATACAAATGAGAGAGCAGTGGTCTTACTCAGTGATTTAATAACCTCTGAGCACTATGCACGTTTAACTTTTTGTTAGCATGGTTTGGCCAGTGCATTCGCTCTCAACTCCTTTTCTGAATTGACTTCGGTGATCAAAGCGAATATTTCATTAAGGAAAAAACATTTTTTAATTGCAAATTTAATGTCTGGGTTAACTTTCATAATTTCACAAAGAATACTCATTTTTCATAAGAGTTCTTAAAATCTTCAAGTGTTTGAGGTTTTTTCCCAATACGTTTGCTAGGAATGACAGTGTTTGGGTGATTTCAGTCATTTTGTGCAGCACTCGATGTCTTACAGAAGTCGTTTCTAGAGAACGATCGTTGCCTTTCTGAATTTAGGCCATGTTAGGTGCTAGGTTGCTCACCTTTTCCGTGGAAGGTGAGAAAATTTGACGAACATAATTCTGGACGAGACAGACAGTGTAGTGGTGATGTGTAGTCATCATGGCAGTGGAAAAGGAGTCCAATTCATAGCCTAAAACTTTAAATGTATTCTTAGGGGTCAGATTTAAATGAATATTTTACCCACAATAACTGCCTATTTTGTTATATTAAAATATATATATATAAATATATATAAAACTTTCTTTAACTAAACTGTAACTATGGGAATTATTTTCTTTACATAGTTGCACACACATATATATATATATATTTAAAATATATTTTTTTCTTTTGCCACCTACTCCTAACTTTTTGTTTTGTTTTATTTTGTTTATAAATTAAGATTAATTGGTTAGAGTCTATCTTCCTTAATCATGTGAACTGAAAATAGGGGTATGGTGGTTGTGGGAAGAAACCTTGGGGGGAAATTAGACTACAAGTAAAAGTATGGGCATGTTCTCCTCTTTTCTATAAAAGTTTTCAAGTGATTCTTGTTTTTCTGTTGTTCTTGTTCGGGGGGGATTTGGTTTCAGTCCTCTGCCTTTCCTTCTTCAATAGGAAAACGGGAGGTGGGGGGTGGGGGTTTCTCCGTGGCTGCACACCTTCCATCTCCCCTCGCTGCTCTGCACTAGAGTTGCACACGGTTGGGTGCTGAGTCATTGTAAGACAGCGTAGTGAAAGGTAGAAACGAGTTCAGAAACCGTTTCTCTGGTACTTTACAGTAATAATATTGTTTGGCTTCTCATTGCTTTTGAAGTTGTTTTTATTAAGTATGTGTTTTTGACAACCTCCTCATGATATAATGCTTCTTAAATGAGCACTGGTATGTGAAGAATTATCAACAATTATCCATTCCATTTATGAGAAAGAGGAGAACAGCTAATAAACTTTATTGTGAAATTTACAATTGAAACGTGTCATGATTCTGAAGGGAGAACTCACTTTATAAGTTCGTGTGTTCTTGGAATAGTTTGGTACGTCATATAACCTGAATTCAAGAGCTATAGAACAACAAAGTCAAAATTTCTTCTGTAGGTTTTAGAATTTAGTATATTAACCCATTGAAGTACAGAATACTGCTTTACACATGTATACTAGGCTGCTGCCAAATATACACATATAGAACATTGTCCAGTGACCGATCCCAAGAGCCCCAGAACTCACTTGGTAGTAAGATTGCAGTGAGGCACTGTGAAGTATTTACTAGATTATCCCATGTTATAAAATGTTAAGTTGTTAGAAAATGAAGGTGCTTGTGGTTTCAGATTTTTGTATTATACTACAAATATTTTTGGATATCCTGTCAAAGTGATTACTTTAATACTGTTTCATGTGCAACTTCCTAGTTTGTATAAGATTGTTAATAATGAAAGTACGAATTGCTGAGTACTGCTATACAACAATCATGGTAAGTATGCTGTCAGAGCTTTTTGTTTTATTTTTTTAATTAAGTCCCATTACAAAGCTTAAGTGAAGCAGTAACCAAGATTATCGTGCGAGTCCTTGCAAGTCATAGTGCTTATCTGAGCCTCTGGGTCCCAAGACCCAGTTATTGCCAAGGTGCTATACCGGCTCATATTTTCGTCCTCTGCAACGTAAAGCACTGTGATCACATGTACTAATTTCTGGATGCCTTCACAGAAAAGAAGAGAAACTTGGATGAAGGGCTTTGTCCAGAGTAATACAGAATAAGGACAGAATCATAAAACAAGCCCCTCCCACCACAGAGCAAAAGGGTGCCCCTGAGAAACCAAGAAGCCAGCCAATGTCACAGTGACACATGGTTCAAAGGGAAACTGCTTTGGAGTCAAAACTGGAAGTTTTTATTAGAATAAAGGTCTGCTCAAACAGCAAGGGAACAGAGCTGCGAGGTCCCCAGGGAATGCTGAAGGTGGACTTTGGGGCCAGGGCGTGGTGCCCCAACAGACTGGACTGGAAAACATTCCTAAAGGCCAACAAGCAATCCTTGAACTAACTACA